TGTGAATGTTATTTGGCTTGAGCAGATATCTGAAGTGACTCCTCTGCTCAAGAGCTTTCCGAGGAACCAAGTATCGCTTCAATCGGAGCACGAACAAGAAAGTTACGAACGTTGGAGTTCGTATGCTTTTGATATTTGGTTGTGGTGACTATGGGAAGTTGTGGGGTTGACTCAATATGGGGTACAGACTTTTGAGGGTTGGGAAATTCGTCTTTTCTACTGTAGTTGCTGCCAAATGGTTGGGAGAAACCAAACCAGGCTGGCAAGTGTGGCCAAGTTGGGTTGAGGTGGATTGTGGAGGTTGGGATAGTGACAAAGGTCAAAGTTGGGTTGCCTATGGGGAAGGGAATTGTATGGCATGGGGTTTCCTTGGTTGGGGACTCTCTTGGGACCTTCCCTCTCGTCCTCCTCATCCCTTCCACCTGGTTTAGTGCTACTCCAATTCTCTTGTGTGAACTTGTGTGAACTTTGTGATTGAGTTAAGATTCTATGGCAGCATACCCCCTAGTGCGCCGAAATTGATTGCTCAAGAAATACTTCACCTTTTCGCATGATTCAACTTGGGAATTGTAGCCACGGAGTAGACCTACAACATATTTGAATTTGATGAAGTTTTCACTGTGAACTTTTCGTCGACGGCGTTTCTTGTGAACTCGACTTTTCTGTTCAGAAACTAGGCCCAACGATGTTGAGATATTTTGGCTACTAATCTTCATAGACTCCGTCCTCAGTCTCTAACACACGCTGGGAGAATCGGCCGGCGCGTGCAGCTGGGGGTCGATACTATACCATGCAGCCAAACATTCGTAACATTTTTGTGTTGCCCAGTTTTCCTGTCCACAGCAGATGCGGTGATGCGTTGTTCGGAAGCGATGATGTCGAGAGCAAGTTGTGCAGAGGGACAGCGTGGTCCATCGCCTCAGGCCACTGGTGGTTAGGTAGCCGCATGCCACGTAGCAGTTTGCGCATGGTGTTTTGCTACACCTTGCTGTTGATGAGCGTAGGGAAGAGAGAGAGTCTCTTGATGCCTCTCTCTCTGCCAGGTACTATATGAACTTTTGTGATGTATATTCTCCTCCTCTGTCTGACTGGAAACTTTTCAGTTTCACCCCTGACTCACGTTCTGCTACTGGAAGCCAGGCGACGAAGACTTCGAAGGCCATGTCGCGACTCGGAAGGTTAAGGTGCCAGACATATCGTGTGGCGGCGTCGATGAAGGTGATGGCATAATTGTACGCTCCTTGACCGGGCTCGCTGTTGTATAGGATGTCGCTGTAGAATTTCTCCAGGGGTGCGTATGCTGGTGCGCTTGGGTTGTGGTGAGGAACGAAGGGCTGATGCAGTAAGTCGGCTTTGGGGCAGGTGAAGCATGTTCCTCGCATTCGTTGAAGTTCCTTTCCATCGGGTAGGAGTAGAGAGTCTTTGTCGAGTACGCCTGCTCTTATTGTGTTGTTGAACGTCGTGTTGCTTGGGTGTCCCATTCGTGCATGCCAGATATCTTCGCCAGCTCGATGTCTGGGTGAGCGACGGTATAATTCGAAGTTGGAGTAGAAGCCTGCGGTGAAGTTTGGGCTTCGGTGGACTTCTCGTGATGTTGGATTCAGTTGCTGTGCGGGAGTCGGTGAAGTGTCGTCATCGATTGGGTCTGGTGTAGTTGAAGGACCCGCGATTGGTGCCAATGTTGTCTCTGCTGCTGCCGATGTTGTCTCTGCCGTTGCCGATGTTGTCTCTACTGCTGTCGTTGTTGTATCTGCTGCTGCCGATGTTGTCTCTGCTGCTGCCGGTGTTGTATCTGCTGCTGCCGGTATTGTCTCTGCTGCTGCCGATTGAATTGTTGCTAATGCTCTTGTTTGTTCTGCCTCTGGAATAGTGCGCGAATACAAGAAGCCGCTCGGACTGAAGTCGAGATCAAGATCCGGCGGATGTGTCCAAGAAGTGAAGTTGACGATGGCGTCGCTGTCGGCGGTGCCTAAGTCTGGAACGAAGTCGAGGACGAAGACGTTGTTCTTCAACACCGCTTTCCCGATGTAGAGTCCACCTCTCCCGTGGAGCAGCTTGAATCCTTGGGTGGTGCTGTCTGCTTCAAGGTGAATGCCTTTCGCCATCAGTTGACTAACACTTAGTTAGTTGTAACCGAGTCCCTCCGCAATTAAGACTTTTGACATCTGCAGCATAACGTTCGTCTCTCGTGACTGAAGTTGAACTATGCCTTGTCGTTTTGTGTGCAGATTCCGGTTGTTGGCGACGGTGATGATGACTTCGCGTTGGAGTTGATGTTTTCGTTGGACGAAGCGACCCGAGGAGCACATGTGTTGTCCGCGGCAACTATCCAAGAACCAGGTGTCTTTCCCGGACGGCTCGCTCTGGGCGATGGCTACGTATGTCGGGTTCGGCTCCAGTGTTTCACGGCGAGGAGTAATCTCATCGAGCAATTCTTCTGGTGAGTAGTGTGGTGGTGACTCGGTGATGCAGGAATCTGACAGCCTCGCCATGCAAATCAGAATATTTCTTACTCCTTGTGCAGGTTTTGAAGTCTGCGTCTGACTCGTGGGATGCGCCTGTGTGGATGCCACTTGGCTGCTTGAAGGTCGAAGCTGTCGTTGTGGCGTCGTTGACTATCGCAGACTCGGACAGTGTGTACGGGGATGTCCAGACGTCTTGCAGAGATGACAAAACGGTGGTACGTGCTGCTGCTGTTGTTGCTTGTTCTGTCAGTTGGAGTTGTTGAAGCGCCGTTGAGTGTGGAATGCGAACTCAGGTACTGATGTCTTCCTCTTGTGTCGTTCCTCATGCAGGTCCATGTCTTGCTGTTCGGCGTGAATTTCGGCGCAGAGTGCCGCTTCGGAGATCTTCCCGTGGGCTCGGAGAATAGCTCGAGTGCAGCGCCAATGAGGACCAAGTCCAGTGATGACGACTGTAACGAAGGCTTCTTCGGAGATTGACCCTCCGCATCGAAGGAGTTTGTCGCGTAGTTCGCGGTAGCGGCTGATATACGCCATTCCCTTTTCGCCTGGTTTCATTTCAACTGTTGTTAGCTGTGCCATTAGTCGACTCTGATTGACACTGTGTGTTGCTTGATACAGGTTCTTCAAGTGGTTGTACGCGAGCTCTGCGGAGTTGCCGTATCCCCGATAAGAGCGGATGTTCTGCTACTAGTTTGTCGTCAGATTCCTCAGCAGGATTGTGTATGCCATCATCGACTGATATGTGTACTACTGCTTGTCGTATTGCGTTCCGTGTGTTCGGTATGGCAGGGACCCGTCGAAGAATCCGAGAATTTGTGCGCCTTCCATCATCAGCTCGAATTCGAATGACCAAGTGAAGAAGTCATTTCCGTCGAATGGACTTGACATCTGCAGCTTCAAGACGTGCGCGGACTGTGACTGAACCTGAAGCGCATCCAATGTTTTCTCTTGTCCAGGTGAAGGCTGCGGCATAAAGCTGATGAAGCCGCGCTGGGGCTCGTACGGAGCAAAGGTAGGCTGCTGCTGCTGATTTCCGCGCGCGTAGGATGAACCGTCGAGACTCATGGGTGTAACGTCGTTGTTGTTGTTACTGATGTTTGACTGCGCAGGTGCCGCTTGTTGGTGTTGTTCGTAGAAGGAAACGAAGGAGGAGAATTTCTCCATCATGCTTGGGTCGAAGCCTGCGGCTTGATTTGCGGGAGTTTCAGTAGACCCGGCTGCTGGTCTTGTTGCCGTACCCTCCTCTGTCTGTAGGTCAGAGGCAGGAGGTGGAGTAGGAGTAGTACCGGGAGAGCCGTTAGAGGAGCTTCTCTCCTTTTGTGTTGCCATGCCTTCTGATGTTGTGGGTGTCTTGATAGTGGAGTTTACCCTGACTGCTCTCATACCATGTTGGGCTGAGAAAGCCCTTTGGAACTTTGCAGGACTAAACTCTGGGTAGGAATGTTGTAGTTTGCGGAAGCGTTTAACAATTATTGAACCACCTTGCGCTAGTATGTGAGGGCAAAGTAGATTGATTAAAACAAAGAGATACAAGGTTTTATAAGAGCACAAGGAATACAACGAGATACAGTTAATAACAGTTTTACTATTGCTGTTGCGGTTCGATACATCGACGACTCGGGCAACTGCTCAATAATGAGTCAGTTGTTTGTCCTTGCTGTCGCGCTGTAATCGTCAGGTCAAAGGTCGCTGACCTTTGACTTTCGCGTAACCTCCAGCAGTTACTCAACCTCCGAGGGCTGACTCGCCGATGCTTCGCTGTGTTTCGCTTCGCTTATGACTTAGTGTTTCGACACGACAGATGCGCTTAAATCACTTGTTTCCAACACATGGCACATTGGGCACAAACAGAGGAAAAGCTTGAGTGTTGTGAACATATTGCGCATTGGCCGCATTCTCTTTCAACTCAGCATTAGCGCTGTTCTGCTGGCTGGCATTCTTTCCGTCGCGCAAAATGAAAAGGTGGTTAGTTTCCTTCCATGTTTCTGCTCGTATTTTTGTGGGCGTCTCGTCTTGTGGGCGGCGTAGGTGATGTGGTTGGTGGGCATGACTGCCAGCTTCACGAGCTCCTCCGGGTCCTTGGGGCGAGGGAAGCGAGGGTCGCTGTGAAACACACGGCACACACCCGCCTGCCCACTGCTGCCGCTGCCGCCACTGCTGCTGCTAACTGATGCATTTTCTTCCTTTTCCTCGGTTGATTTCACGGCGTCCAATAGCAGTTTGCCATGTGACCTGTCAAACGGTTCCCAAACCAAACAGGTATGCTGCTCATGGATGTCAGACATGAAAGGGATGCCGTGCACAATCAATGACCTGTATTTCACTCTGCACCGCCTCAGGTTGATTGTCCTCATGCACTGCTGGTGAGGGCTCTTCAGGATGGGTCTGCCCAGCAAGAGTCCCTCTAGATTGGGTCTTTGCAGCATGGGTCTTGCGGCCCGTACCGTGTTGCTACCTGCTCCCAAGGAAAGGTATGGGAGTGGAGACCTGGCGTCACGAGACAAAGGGGATGCCCGTCGGCACCGAGGCGGCGTATCATGCGTACTCAAGGCCAAAGAACTGGTGCAGATAGAACTCCTCGTAGCTGCATGGATGGGGGGAGGGGAGACCATTAGGGCTGGCACGATAAGACACCCACGCACCGAGGCACCGAGGCACCGAGGCGGCGTATCGTGCGTTCTTAAGGCTCAAGAACTGGTGGAGGTAGAACTCCTCGTAGCTGCGGGGAGGGGAAAGAGAGGGGGGAGTAGGGGCACAGGAGCAGAGGAAATAGCACGATGAGTTTAAGGGAATGCAGGATGGCACCAAGGCAGTGCGTACTCATGGCCAAACACCTGGTGCATGTAGAACTCCTCGCAGCTGGGGGGGGACGGGGGGAGGAGCACGGGAGCAGAGGAATTAGTGTGACGAGATGAAGGGAATGTTGGAAGGCACTGAGGCAGCGTAATGCGCGTACCGAAGGCAGAAGACCTGGTGCAGATAGAACTCGTAGTAGCTTGGGGGGGGGGGAGGGAGAGAGGAAGGTTGGGGGTAGGGGGAGGGAGAGAGGAAGGTTGGGGGTAGCGGGAGGGAGGGCCATGGGGGTAGAGGCACGGAGGCTGCGTATCGTTCGTACTCAAGACCAAAGAACTGGTGCAGATAGAACTCCTCGTAGCTGGATTTGAAAAAGGGGGGTGGGGAAAGAGGGGACATGGGAGCAGAGGCATTGCGCATGCTGGAAGAACTGGTGCAGATAAAACTGCTCGTAGCTAGGATGAGGGGGAGGGGAGAGCAGAGGGGGTGGCGCGATGAGACAAAAGGAACGCAGGAAAGCAGAGAGGCAGCGTATTGCGCGTACTCGAGACCAAAGAACGGGTGCAAGTACAGGTCCTCGTAGCTGCAGCAAAGAGGGGGGGAGGCGGGAGAGAGAGGGGGAGGAAGGGGGGGGGAGGGTGGGGCACGGAAGCAGAAGGTGTGCAGCATGAGATGGGGTGGGATGGCAATGGCGTGTGTGTGGGGCACTGGAGTGCAGCAAGCTGGCGGGAGGCGCGAGGTAGTGGAGAGATTGGGACATGGTGGTGGAAGGGCGCGGGCGATGAGGAAAAGGGAAAGGGGGAGAAGGAAACAAGGGAGTCTTGAAACAACAGCTGAGTGGGATTAGGTTTGGGGGATGTAGAATTTAGGTGCATGAACAGTCACCATTCGTCGAAGGCATTTGAGAATTCTCAAAAGCAATTCATCAATGCAACCTTCCCATCACCAACGCACCCTCGCATCTCCCTCTACACAATGAGGCACTAGGAGTTGAGGCCGATTCACGGTCCTGCAGGTCCTGCTCCAGGCCGACTGAACGCACAGGGTAACTCACAGGATGCCTGCGCAAGCAAGGGGGTAACTCACAGGATGCCTGCGCAAGCAAGGGGGTAACTCATGGGATGCGCACGGCAAAGAAGCGCCGGGAGACGAGGGCGACCCACGCTACTGGAGGCCCTGCCCCAGTCCGTCTGAGCCTGCAGGGTAACTCACTGGACGCCTCTGTGTCCACGGGGTAATTTATGGAATGCCTCTTGGCCCACAGGGTAAGTCATGGGATGCCTCTAAGCCCACAACTCACAGGATTACTACTCAGGCAAGGGGGCAACTCACGAGATGCGCGCAGCGAAGAAGCTCCAGGAGACGAGGGCGAAGGCGAGCGGAATGCCCTCCGTGACCACAGGGGTACTCACTCACGAATTGCCCTCTGCGCACACACGATGACTCACGGGATGCGGGCGGCAAAGAAGCGCCAGGAGACGAGGGCAAAGGCGAGCGTGCAGAGGGGGTTGACGAGCAGCAGCTGCGTGGCTATGCTCCACATGAACCACCCCGTGTAGCCCGGATGCCGCACCCACCTGTCATGGGCATGTGGGGAACATGGGTACGGCACGAGATGATCGCATATGAGATTCGTGAATTTTCTAAAGGAGCTGCTTGGCGATGCTCCACATGACCCACACCGTGCCTGGGTGCCGCTGCCGTGGGCATGAGGGAATGTGGGAGGGCATGGTTGCATGTCACCCACATCATGCTCCACATGGAGCATCCATCTGCGACCGTGGGGTGGACACTGTGTGGGTGTTGGCGCACAAGCATGCAGTGCTTGCTTGCAGTGCTTGCAGTGCTGGCAAAGGAAAGTGCAGTAACTCGCTCGTGCAAACAGGCACCTCAAGACCCAGCATGCATAAGCCCCCTTTCAGTACTTGCCGCTGCTGCCGTTTCAGACGACTCGTGGCTGAGCTCATAAGAATACCCCAGCATCCCCCATCTGCCTTCGCGCCCACCACAAGAGCAAGCGGAGCGCCTAGCCAGTGCCCGTGCCAGCATGAGCCTCAGTCGGCACTAGAGCACCCAGTCGCCCATCAACCGCCCACCTGTACAGCCCGTGTGTGACCACTCTATGTTCGCGTCTTTTCTCCTCCGTCTGAATGTCATGAGTGAATCTCCTCTCCGCGGTCACTCGCTGCCTTGCGCACCACCAGCGCCCCCAGATTCTCCCAACCACCAGAACTCTCACCTGTAAAGCCCGTGTGTGACCAGTCGATGTTCGCGCCGCTTCTCTGTGTGAATATCATGAGTGAAGCTCCGCCCCGCCGTCACCATGGCTGCCTTGCACACCGCTTCCCCCGCCAGCAGCAGCGCCCCCCCCCCCCACCCACGCCACGGGCCACAGGCGGCGCTTGAAGGCGGGGAAGAGGGTGGTCTCAAGGGCGTATTCAGTGAGCGTTGCTGCCATGGCCAGCAGATACTCCCGCGAGAAGAGGAACGCTGCATGGCTAGCGGGAGGTTGGGAGGGATGGGAGTGGGGGAAGAGTGCGTGGGGAAGAAGGGGAAGGGAACTCTGAACATACCACCACCCCACACACCACACCAGCAGCAGCAGCAGCACCGCCGCCAACACCAGCGCCCCCCCCAACCCACGCCACGACTTTTGAGGCGTCTCAAAAAGCGCCCCCCCACCCACGCCATGGGCCACAGGCGGCACTTGAAGTGGTGGAGAGGGATGGGATTGGGGGGGGGGTGGGTGGGGGGAAGCGAACTTTGAACAGATCGCCAGCAGAAGCAGCAGCTCCCCCAGCAGGGGTGCCCCCACAAGAGCGCCACGAGCCACAGAAAGGGGCAGGGCGTGGGAAGGGGAACGGAGCAGGATGAGGCTGGGCGGGAGGGTGATGAGGGGAGAAGAAGAAGATGAGGGATGAAAGTGGAGGGATATAAGGAGGAGGGGAGAGGCATTGCAGCGTCGTGAAGGGAAGCTCCTCCTGTGAGACAAAGATGGGAGGAGGGAGGGCTGGAGGGAGGGGATGGGTAAGGCTGGAGGGATGCGAGAGTGGAGGCGCACTGAAGTGTCAACACAGCGCCGCCATCAGCGCCCCATCAGCGCCCCATCAGCGCCGTCATCAGCGGCCAATCAGCGCCCTCGCCAGAGCCGCGGAGGAGGGGACGGGTTGGCGAGGACGGGGTGAAGGCGACGTGAGCGAGAAGCGAAGGGCACGAGCGAGGGGCGAGGCAAGGCGAGGGGAAGGCGAGACGAGGGGAGGGGAAGGCGAGGCGAGGCAACGCGAGGGGAAGGCGGGAAGGCGAGGCAACGCGAAGGGGAAGGCGGGAAGGTGAGGCGAGGCGACGCGAGGCGAGGGGAAGGCGCGAGTTGGCGTACATCGGGCGTGGGGTTTGCCGGTGGACCAGAGCGCGAGGAGGAAGGCCGAGTTGAGGCGGGGGAAGGGGAACATTGTGTTTGGTACGTATCTACTACAGTGGGAGGCGAGACGAAGGGACGCACATCGGACGTCGGGTTTGCCGGTGGACCAGAGCGCGAGGAGGAACTCGGAGGAATGGAAGAAGACGAGCGCCGCGAGGAACGCCGCCAGCATCGTGACAAAACGACGCGCAATTGCTCGCTTGCTTCCCTCGAGGATTTTACTACACGAGACGACGCGGTCGCTCGCTTGTATCCCCCTAGGTTTTTACTCCACGAGACGATGCGATCGCTCGCTTGTTTCCTTGGATCAGTATAGCTCGAGTGTGACGCGCTCACTTGCTTGAGAGGCGTAAGACTTTTGAGGCTCAGAAGCCGGAAATTTTGAAGACGACGACCGCCGCTGCGAACGCCGCCATCATCGTCACGACGAGGCGCGATATCGGTCAGTTTTTCCGTTCGAGGCTTCTACCTCTTTATTGACACTATAGTAAATGTACAATGGATACAAGGCAAATCCAGAGACATAGTGTATGGAGAGACATGGAGGCTAATCCTATTGTGAGGCCTACAAATAGGCAAAGTCAGCTGCAGATAGAGAAGTCACCTCGGGTGGTGCGTGGTTGACGCCCTCGGAATTTGTGCACGACGACTAACAGTGCAAGCCTGCTCACGTTGATGGACCAGAGAAATCCGTTGTAGAAGTTGGTCTCAAACAGTGTGAGCAAGTAGGGCGGGTTTCTATCCCGTGTCAGACACGAAGCCAGACACGAAGTTGAGGTTGGGAGACCCAAAGGGACTCGGAATGCTGACATATTTAGGTTCAGAAGACACAAACTGAGGCACTTTGTTTCTTCCGAAGCTTTGACCTGAGTCTGACACGGGTTAGAAACGCGCCCTTGGGCTACTGGAGACTGAATCAGATGGGGTTAGTTGGTCGTCTGGACTAACGGACGACTTGCGACAGGGATAGGGCAGGTGATAGTTGCGATTAACGAACGAATTTCGCGAAATGAATTTAGGAAAGCCGCTCAGAAGTTCCATCCACCCCCTTACCAAACGATTAAGCCATAAAACCGCTCTGTAACGCATACCACTCGTCTCCATGCTTCCTGTTACCAGCATCGCACTCGGTTCACCAAACCACGCCTCAGATTCTTTGGCACCGTATTTAAACGTGAGATATCCATCTAAATCAAATTGTCTGGACAACTTCAGAAGAACGTTGTTCCAGAATCCGTTTTTTAACGTGAGATATCCATCTGAACCGCATTGTTTGAACAACTCTAGAAGAATGCAGCAGTCTATCTTCGAATCCCAAGGTTCCCCTTCCCTCCACTCCCACCCAAGTCCAGTCACGCTCACGCTCACCTCTAATCAGGTTTCCTGAAATTGGTCGCGCTACCTACGTTCATCGTTCCTCAGCCAACGACGAAAACCACACCGAGATTGGCTTTCCCGCCTCAAAGCTTTCTGCAGCCCTAGAAACTGTCAGCCCACTCACGATGTGGAAAGGCCATTGTCATTTCGATCAAATCCACAGATTAGCAATGGAAGTAGTCTCGAGGTTAGGTTTCCCGCCTCACAGCTTCCTGTGCCCCTGCAGGCTGCCTGGCCTCTCACGGTATGACAAATCGGTTGTCACCTTGGTGGCATTCGAACCACATCAGTACGGCTAGGCACGGAAAAAAAAAAAAAAGTATCTGGTTGATTCCGAACGTCCCACCGTCGCTCGTGGATCTACCGAACCAATGCACACTCCTTTGCCACTTTCCTGCTCACCTTTCGCCCATTGGACCTTCGCTGGGATCCAGAAGTCCGTCACACCATAGATCACACCACCACGACTTACCGCTCATCATTTTGACTCGCATCAATCGTAGATCCAACACTTGAATGTTAGTTGCTCTACATTCGCCACCCTTCGATCCCATCTCTTACGTGGTCCGCTAGGTTTGATCCGCCATGGACACGCTTCTCGGCGACCTCCTTTACGGCATTCTGCGCCGCGCCGAGCCAACAGGGCCTCATGTATTACTAGTGCAGATGGCGTGCCTTTCGAAAGCGCTGAATTGCATGGCAAACGAGTCCCTATGGCAGCTGAACTGTCGGGAGAAACTCTCTCAGCTCCTTGAGAACAAAATTCGGGTTCAGAATCCGAGCGGCGACGATGAGTTTGAAGCATCCATGCGCAAACATTTTCGGCTCATGCTGGAGCAGATGATCGGGGTGGACTTTAGAGCTTTCGCACAAGTTATCCACAGGTGCCCTGGCGTGAGAAGGGGTTGGCGAGTTCCAGGAGACGAGCATGAGCGTGACAGTGATAAGCCGCACATGCGCTTGCATGGGCCCGCCAGGCTAATCCGTTTTAATTGTATGGCTTTTACCATTTGGTGCTTCTGTCATCAGGACGGACAGGATGATTTGAGTCTTAAACAAGGACTTTATGTTGGCCCCAACCTTGACTTGTAAGTCCACCACTTCTGCTCGTGCTTCATGTTAATGCTCTTTCTTTCGAGTGCTCTGCTGCGTTATTTTCAGTTTTTCTAGAACGGTCTTGTTCATTGAATTAAAAAGGCATGTAGAGCAAACGTGGTAAGCCGTGCAATTCTATCAAGGACTAGGCAAGGCTACTTGGAAAACTAGGCTGGCAAGTAGGTGCACGGGTGCCACGGGTAATGGCAAGGGATAGAGGGGATGAGGGAGGAGCGCGAGAGAATTGGGGTATGGGGATGGTAAGCGAGGTTTGTACACCAACCAGCCAGCCTGTCAATCAAATATCAGGCCATCAGGGCGCCCTTTGTGGTGTAGGGTCCGGGGACCCTTGGGCCTCCTGGACCTAGAGGAGGTCCGCAATGAACCACGTGCTGATTGCCATTTGGAATCTGCTAGGTAGGCTTTAGTGAAGAGGCCACAATCCAGAGGTTTATTTCTGAAGAAGGATTGTTACTCGTTTTATCTCCTCACGATATCCTTTTTCTTGCCATCAGGCGGCATTATACACATACCAGTCGCTCCTCCGTGCAATGCAAGACGAGTCCTGCCCTTTCTGCTCTTCTAAGGTGTGTCTTGCCCGCTGTGCCATATCTCCATTCCTCACCGTGTTTACCATGCGCCATTCACCATGGACCATTCTCCCCTCCCAACACATCTATCCATTCCTCCTCTGTGGGCTTCCCTCCCCCTAGCTGAGAACGCGAATGCTGAGTCGACTCCTCCACACCAGAGGCAGTGACACCCACTTCTGCACCCATTCTGTTCTAATCTGATCTCATCTGATCTGATATGATATGATCTGATGTGATCTGATCTGATGCCATGCATGTCAACCAAGCTGCCCCAGTATCGCTTGTGGCTGTGTAAGTAAGCTACGTGTTTCCATCCATGACATGCTGTTCACAGAGAGACTGTTCCTCTGACTGTGCACTGGTGGGCGTCACTTGAATTGTTGTATCATGATGGATCATTACACACAATGCTTATGGTAGGTACCGTATCACCCCGGATAAAAGCGCAGGTGCGCTTATAATAAAATAGTGTTTTTTAGGGGGGTGCGCTTCTAATTGAGTCATTTTTATAAGCGCATGCGCTTATATAATGACATCTACATATTTATGATTTTAAGACACCAAATTGCATATTTCACTCTTGCCATTTCAACCGAGTCAAAACATTTCGCGTCACAAAACAGAATCGCGTGCAAGCGATTCCCTTTCAGCACACAGGGGCCAAGATGCGACTCTTTGCAGTCATGCCAGCACATCCTGACTCGACGCGCAGCCAGTCAGGTCTTCGAGAGTCAAGCTACGCGAAATTGAGATTGCACTCGCTTCAAAAAAGAGATTCGCTACCGTTTTGAACAAAAAAAATATTGTATAATTGTACATGCGTTTATACCGGATATTTCCGGCTAGAAGACCCGGGGGACTCTCTACAAATGCTGGAAATTGTGCTTGGGTGGACATTATGGCGGCAGCAATTTTTTAAGACCCGGGGTAACCTATTTGTCAATTATCAATCTGATATTTAGGGTGTACGACTCAATTTGGGGTGGGGGGGTCTTATATTCGCAACGAATTCGCGAAAATTTCACGCGTGCGGCGCGTCAAATCTGTGTCAGAATTCGAGTCTGACACAAATGAAGTGTCAGAATTCGAGTCTGACATAAAAAGCGTGTCAGAATTCGAATTTACACCAGTAAAAGCTGACGCACAATATCAATTACAACTACTGTATACAGAAAAGGGGGGTCTTACGATGATTAGAGGCGAAGGGGGGGTCCTCACAAAATCGGCCACAATAAGAGTCCCCCTACCCATTCAAGAGTCCCGGGGGACCTTCTTACCGGCGGGTCTTCTAGCCGGAACTATACGGTAATAAGTTAAGTTTTCAAAGGGGGTGCGCTTATAAATGAGGATCGGCCATAAGCGCATTGCTCCAGATAGAAGCGCATGCGCTTATCATAGGCCTGCGCTTTTATCCGGGGTGATACGGTAATTCATCCTTGCTGAGTTCACATTTTACCCTGTTGCAAAGCACTTTCGGTGCTACACACTGACGATCAGTCAACAAGGGCCTCCTGATTGTTGTGACGTGTGATGCATTATAGAGTTTTATTGGCAGTTTTAAATGTGCATGGGCCGCACCGCATAGCATACAAAATTGCCATCGAATACAATGTAGACAGGAGGGGAAACCCCCCCCCACCAGAAACACCATCAAGCATACTGTAAAGGATCCAGGTTACACTCAAAAGCATCTTTTCTTGTGGCGTGGAGCATTGAAGCGCGGACCAACAGAGCCCACTGCGATCCTTTTTTGGCTGCAAGCACGAGGATACATGGCACGAGATTGCGTTGCATGGTATGGCAGAGCAGAGCAGAGCGCACGGGTGCTGTGTGTGGCACACCGACACGCAAATGCATGCGCTGTACGACAAGGCGTGGCATGGCATGCTATTGAGTGAATGGTTGTGCAGTTCCTGAGGGATGGTATGTAAGGGCATGCGTTGTATAATTGACAAGCGGTAACCGTTATGAAATCAAGCTGGACTGGGAGAGATGGTGGTTCCAGTGCATGCATTTGACACATATTGGACATGGACGCATGATAGACACAAATGAGACATACAATTGAGTACCGTACATGGACGTGGCAGAATGAAGCAAGGTTGAATGAGCACGAGGCACGGCATGAATGGGTACGAGTCATGGCACAAATTGAGTCAGGCGACACGGCATAAGTGGGCACTGCATGAGGAGCGTAGCAAGGCTTACGGTGATGCATCGGCGTCGTCACTCATGGGTTGATCCTCGTCCATGGTGGGGGGCCCTTGCTGCACGCCTTTGCCTTCTATTGGACAACGCATGGCATGTGATTGTAACGATGCCATGGGCTGCCGTGGTTGTAATGATGGCATGGGCTGCTGTGGTTGTAACGATGCCATGGGCTGCTGTGCTTGTAACGATGCCATGGGCTGCTGTGGTTGTAACGACGCCATGGGCTGCTGTGGTTGTAACGACGCCATGGGCGGCTGTGGTTGTAACGATGCCATGGGCTGCTGTGATTGTAACGATGCCATGGGCTGCTGTGATTGTAACGATGCCATGGGCTGATGGGACTGCAGTGGTGCATGCGCTACATCTCGCCCGGTTGCTGCCAGCACTGCACACGTGCCCTCAGGGAGACACCGCTGCTGCAATGCTACAGCCTGTTCTGCTACAGCCTGCTGCTGCTGCTGCTGCTGCTGCTGCTGCTGCTGCTGCTGCTGCTGCTGCTGCTGCTGCGCTGCTATGGCTTGTTGCCACTGGTGGTGGGATAGAGCCCGCATCCCCACCCTCCCACAGCATGCACATGCACATGCACAAACCGAAGCAGACAGTAACACACACACACACATCCAGGCCCATGGCGCGGTTGGAATCAATGCTCGTGACAGACAGGCATTGCCCTCATTTGCGGTACACTGGTTGGCATGGAGACGTGGGCAGGAGGACTGTTGCAGTGAGGTGCCCATCCCCTTCCACTAGACCCGCAACGCAAGCACCACACACCATGCACCACACACCATGCACCACACCGCACAAACACACCAAAACATCACAACACAACAATCAGACCAGCAACACATACGATGAGTACGTATACACGATAACAGTAACGACGCCACTCCACTAGTCTACCACCATGTCACCATGCCTGCACACTAGCACGCCACCCACACAGCCATCCCACCTGATCCAGTCGCTGTGCAGCAGCCTTCTCGGGCTCCAATCTGACTGCCCATGAGAGGTGGTGGCATGGCGGTGGTGGCATGGCGGTGGTGGCATGGCGGTGGTGGCATGGCGGGCGGTGGCATGGCGGCGGTGGCATGGCGGGTGGTGGCATGGCGGGCGGTGGCATGGGGGGGGTGGCATGGGGTGGGTGGCATGGGGGGTGATAGCACTGAATGGCTAGAACGCATGGGTACACAAAATGGTTACATATACTGGTCGCAAACGTTACACAGTGAGAGGGTGGGGAACGGCTGTGTGTGGGTGGCAGGAGCAGCGGGGGCATTGTTACAGAGAAGGTGTGCTGTGGAAGTGCTGTGGAAGTGCTGTGGAAGGGTGAGTGGAGGGGTGAGTGGAGGGGTGAGTGGACGGGTGAGTGGAGGGGTGAGTGGAGGGGTGAGTGCAGGGGTGAGTGGAGGGGTGAGTGCAGGGGTGAGTGTGGGGTTGAGTGTATGAGCGCAAGGGGAGGATTGCGGGGAGGCCATACCAAGGGCAGCTTGGGAGCGGGGGTCAGCAGTGTGCAGGTGGATGGTCAGCAGTGTGCAGGTGGATGGTCAGCAGTGTGCAGGTGGATGGTCAGCAGTGTGCAGGTGGATGGTCAGCAGTGTGCAGGTGGATGGTCAGCAGTGTGCAGGTGGATGGTAGCTGTGGTGCACAGCACAGCACAGTGCAGAGGCGAGGCATAACGGGTAAAGAGAATCAAAGCATGGTGCGGAGCTTTGTACTCACCGAGGAGGTGAGTGTGGGTGGGTGGGGGCATACCAAGAGCAGCTTGAAAGCGGTGGCCTGCGGTGTGGCGGTGCATGGCTGCTGCTGTGCGAGCGATGGTGCTGCCTGTGAGGGCGCACTGCAGATGCGTGCTGCCTGTGAGGGCGCACTGCAGATGCGTGCTGCCTGTGAGGGCGCACTGCAGATGCGTGCTGCCTGTGAGGGCGCACTGCAGATGCGTGCTGCCTGTGAGGGCGCACTGCAGATGCGTGCTGCATGGAGGGATGGGAACGGAGAGGGTTGAATGGCCGGGGTGGGATGGATGGGATAGGTTGAAGGCGATTGAGGAGTCAATGGCAGCAGAACGAGGATTGGATTGGGTGGGTGGATGTATACTGTTGCATGGGGCACGGTGGCATGGTGGTGCTTGTGAGACGTGCATGAATGTGGATGGGGTCATGCATGGATGGGGTCATGCATGGATGGGTCATGCATGGATGGGTCATGCATGGATGGGCCATGCATGGAAGGGTCATGCATGGATGGGTCATGCATGGATGGGTCATGCATGGATGGGTCATGCATGGATGGGTCATGCATGGATGGGTCATGCATGGAAGGGTCATGCATGGATGGGTCATGCATGGATGGGTCATGCATGGAAGGGTCATGCATGGATGGGTCATGCATGGATGGGTCATGCATGGATGGGTCATGCATGGATGGGTCATGCATGGATGGGTCATGCATGGAAGGGTCATGCATGGATGGGTCATGCATGGATGGGTCATGCATGGATGGGTCATGCATGGATGGGTCATGCATGGATGGGTCATGCATGGATGGGTCATGCATGGATGCGCAGGAAGTGTATGTGCGATGATTGAAGGATGCAGCTGGAAGGGCATGGAGGAGGTGCGCCAGTGCAGCAGTGCATGGTGCTGTGTGTCCCACCAGCACCCCGCCCATGCACCCATCCCCGCCCATGCACCCATCCCCGCCCCGGCCATATATCCCAACCCTCCCCGTCTCCCAACTTAACTGGAGAAAAGCATGCTCTCATGCCCCTCTCCCCCCCCCAACCTGTCGTGCGGGTGTGCTCCCATCCCCCTCTCCTCTCCCCCCCCCCCACCTGTCATGCGGGCACGCCACGATGTGCGGCGCTGCTCTCTCCATCGCCTCTGCCACCGCCGCTGCTGCTGCGAAGGCCTTGGATCGCACGTGCTGTCGCACGGATCGCCACTGCTGCTGCGACCACGCCTCCTGCGACAGCTGTGGCTGCGACTGTTGAGGCTGCGACTGCTCTGACGAATCGCAGCGGGATTCAAGCAGCGACGCGTCTTGCGACTGTGCGACGGCGACTAGACCCGCCACGTGTTCAGCGCGGATTGGGAACTCGTGCTGTGACAGCGTGCATCGCAGGCGACCCTCCGGCGACCATCCGAACCATCGCGCGTCGTCGCCCAACAGCGTCGCCAGCGCCAGGTCCGCCGTCACCGGCTGTCGCAACTGATGCAGGTCGTCGCACGTCGCACGGATGCTCGCCTGCTGCATCTGCAGTCGCTGGCACTCGCGTGCGTCGCCACGAGGTGGAGACGCGTCGCGCGGGCCAGAGAGACTGTAACGTCTGCGAAATCAACGAAGAGTTAAAAAGCAACTGCTGCGGTGCGGCTCTGAACAACCCCCGTTTTTGTCCAGCGGTCTGGGACGCGGCGCGTTACAGAGACTCTCCCAAAAGGGAAGAACGTATGCTTCGGACCGCTGCTCGCAGTTTGTCTGGCGCACAGCGCGGAGAAACAGCACGACAGCGAACGAAAGACGAGTCTGACGAAGGAGAAGAAAAGGTCGCTCGGCAGGTAGACTTCAATTTTGAGCGCTTGCGATCCGTCCAGTGCTCGCAGGCAGAGCCGATCGTCCGACTGTGCTAGTAGGCGACGCGAGCGAGTAGCCGTTGTGCTGGAGAAGCGTCTTGCGCCATAAGGAACAAGGTTGGGATACGAGGGCGCGTTTACAGATCGAAGCTGGTATCTTTGAGCCGTCGTTTCGAACCTCCGGAACGCACCACGGCCCTTTCCCACGCGAACTCGCACCAATTGAAATCTTGGCGAAACAATAGCTATTGTTTCCTCCGCCCCTTCATTTCTCCCGCACCACCGCCCCTCGCCCATCTCGCACCCTCGCGCATCCCGCACCTCCCCGAGCGGCTCGCTGCTTCACTCACGCGCCAGCACTGCTAGCCGCTGTTCGCATACCGTTCGCTCCCCCTCGCGACACGTCTGTCGTCCCACCGACACGACAACCTTACGGTTCCCGCCGATCCCGCCGATCCCGCCGATCCCGCCGACCTCGACGACCCTGACAATCCCGCCGACCCTGACGAGCCCGAGTGATAGACGAGGCGGACGAGCGGCGGCGTTGATCGTAATAACACGGTGACTTTTGAGTCTGACTCAAGAGTCGAGAGTCAAGAGTCACCTTGGTATCAGGGTGAGGAGGTCCCGAGAGACGTGCAGGTGGCGCGGCGGGGTGCCTTAGAGCCCTGTCCTTGCACGCCGTGCGGCCGTGGATCCAACGGCGCACTCGCTCTCTGCCACCTCGTCTCGCCCAGCACAGTCCCACCCATCTCCTATCCACCCCACACAGCACAGTAGCAGCAGCAGCAGCAGCAGCGCATGTCGTTGCATCGCGTGTGTCGCGGGTTTCTGCGCGCGGCCCGTGAGGCTAGAAGCACCCATGCGGCCCGTGAGGCTAGAAGCACCCATGCGGCCCGTGAGGCTAGAAGCACCCATGCGGCCCGCGAGGCTAGAAGCACCCATGCGAGCACGGGTCGTGCTGCCGCCGCAGCAGCAGGGCCTTCTGGAGGTTTTGAATATTCACCTGCGGAGATAGCAAGTGCTGCGAAGCATGGCACGGCGGCGCCGTGGCAAGGCCCAGAGGGGACAAAGGGCATTCAGTGGCCAATAGCAGCAGCGTGTGTGCAACCGCTGTGGCCCAGCACAGCAGCATGTGCGCACGCGCTCCTCCATGTGGTGTCACTGACACTGAGTAGTCATGCCCATCCACAGCCACAGCCACAGCCACAGCCACAGCAACTGCTGCCCTGCGCCTCACCACTGCTTGCGAGCGCACGTCATGCTTCCAACGCCTGGACCTCCTTTGGGGCCATCCGAACGACGCCAGCCGTTGATTCTGTGCGCGGGATCTCAGCCGTCCGTTCAGCACCACCTCAGAGACCAGCTTTGCATGCCCAACTGGTCCCGGTGCTGCCTGCCCGGCTGCTGTCGACTGCTGCTGCAGGAACAGGTGAGAGGTGCTCGGTGCTACATCCGTGCCTGCCGTGCCTCCCCCCCTCCCTCCCCCCCCTCCCTCCCTCCCTCCCTCCCTCCCTCCCTCCCTCCCCCCCCCCCCCCTCCCTCCCTCCCTCCCTCCCTCCCTCCCTCCCTCCCTCCCTCCCTCCCTCCCTCCCTCCCTCCCTCCCTCCCTCCCTCCCTCCCTCCCTCCCTCCCTCCATGCCTGTCTCCTCTCCTCCCTTCCTACGTCCATTCGTTTTTCCCCTCCTACCCTCCAAACCCCCTCCCGCCACCACCCCCCCCGGTTACCCCCTCTTTCGTCCTCTCGTCGCCCCATTTCCCCACTCGCATTCGCCTTCTCTCTCCACCAGACCCCAGACATGGTTCCTTCCTCTCAACAGCATCTCACCCCTTCAGTTGCACTGTCCACGACTTGGAATCCGTAAAGCTCTGCTCCACCCCCCTCTGCAACACTCGCCATTTCAAAACTCCGGCGTCTCTCTCACGCCACCATCGCAGTAGCAGCAGCATGCGTGGCAGACAATGTTACTGCTGCTGTTGCGACTCGGTCACTCTCCCCCATCACTTGCTCCCATTGCCTGTCCTTTCCTCTCCCTTCACTCCACTTGCACTCCACCCTCCCTTACTCCCTCCCACCACCACCACCAGCAGCACCCCCATCCCCCCCAAGGCGTTCGTGGCTGGCGGTGGCGCTGCTGCTGCTGCCGTGTGCCACTGCCTTTGGCCTCGGGGCCTGGCAGATCCAGCGCTACTACTGGAAGGTGCGTGGAAGGTCCACCGAAAGGTTCACTGTGTTTTTTTAAGGTGCACTCCACTCCTATCGATACGTGAGAGGAAGGTCAACAGATACTCCTGGAAGGTGCGTGGAAGGTACCGTACCAGGAATGTATGTGGAGGTATGTGGTGATTGTCATACGACTGGCCCCTTAGCATGCCCAATTCAGGGCCAGCCAACCCCAAGCTCTCTCCACGGCCAACCACCTCCTCCACCTCCACTCGCTTCCTTCCACATGCCCTTCCGTTACGTTCCCCTCCCTCCGCACCCATCTCACCTTGTTTGATTTTCTAGCATGTGCAATGGACATGACGTGAGGCATGGGCCGCACGCACCAAGGGCTGGCCCGTGCCGGTCCTGCTGCTGTGCCAGCCTGACCCGGCCCGTGCTCATGCCCGATCTCATTGCGCCCTTTCAGGGCTCGCCTGCAACGGCGGCTGCTCAGTCCCGAGCCGGCCTGTACTGATGTGCGATCTGCATGTCGATCCATCCGTTGCCCGCCCACCCTCTCACGCGCCCATCCCTCCAGCTGCACCTGGGTTTGCTTAACCTGCACGCCCACCCATTCATCCCGTTCCCGCTTGTCCTTGCCCGCTGTTCATCCCCCCAGCTGGATCTAGTGGGGCGGCGGCAGCAGCACCTGCAGGAGGCGCCAGTGCCACTGCTGAACGCCCTTCAGGTCCACGCACTTGCCACCGGGGAGGAAGCCACTAGGTCGGATCCGCCCTGGGCTGCTCTAGGCCCGATCCGCACGCCCATCTATCCCGTTCCCGCCTGTCCTTGCCCTCTGCTGCCCATCCCCCCAGCTGGATCTAGTGGAGCGGCGGCAGCAGCGCCTGCAGGAGCCACCAGTGCCACTGCTGGAAGCACTGCTGCTGGCACACGCGCTTGCCACCGGGGAGGAAGCCGCCAGGTCCTGCGCGTATCCGCATGCCCGCTTGCTCATCCATCTCTTCCCGACTGTCCTTGCCCCCTGCTGCCCATCCCCCCAGCTGGATCTAGTGGAGCGGCGGCAGCAGCGCCTGCAGGAGCCACCAGTGCCGCTGCTGGACGCCCTGCAGGCCCACGCGCTCGCCACCGGGGAGGAAGCCGCACTGCCCCTGCTGCCGCCACCACCTGCCACATCACCAGCCGCTGCCGGGCCTCATGGGTCTGGCTCGGCAGCGGACGGGTCTGGTTCGGCGGCAGATGGGCCTGGTTTGGCAGCAGAGGGGCCTGGGTGGGCGGCAGGGGAGTTGGAGTTTCGGCGGGTGGAGTGTGCGGGGCGGTACGACGATGCTCGGTCGCTGTTTGTGGGGCCCCGGGCGCACACAGTGAGGGGCGCACAGGAGAAGGGGTACTTTCTTGTCACTCCGCTCGTCCCTCCCCCTGGCAGGTATGCGCATCCCTCCCTCTCCCTCGCCCCGTCAGTAAACCCCTCCCATTGCATGCCACCGCTGGCGCACATGGTGAGGGGCGCACATGGTGAGGGGCGCACAGGAGAAAGGGTACTTTCTTGTCACGCCGCTCATCCCCCCCCTGGCAGGTGAGTGCTGCCCCCCGCTGGCGGAGATGCGTGTGCTCATTCCCCCCTGTCAGCTTATCCTTATCACTCGCTGGCAGCAGTTGCAGGAGGGATTTCGTTCTCCCACTTGGCAGGTGAATGATACGCCACACATGTGCAGTGCAGCTCATGTGCTTCCCAGTGACCGTTTCCCGGGTGCACAGGAATAGGTCATAAAGCACATGTTGAAACCCCTCTGCCTGCCAGTCACCGCTCTCATTCCCAACTGCTGCTCTCCATGCCACCATTCCCCCATTCCCCCATTCCCCCTTGCCCCCATTCCCCTATTTCCACAACTCCCTAAGACCACATTAAAGCATCCCCTCGCTCCAGCTAGCAGTCTGCAGTGCTGGTGAACCGAGGGTGGGTGCCGGAGGCAGTGAGGCGAAACGTGCATGTTGAGTGCTCCCCCTGACTCTTCCTTTCCCCTCTGCTGTCCCCCGTCCCCTCATCCCCTCATCCCTCATCCCCTCATCGCCTCATCCCCTCATCCCCCCCATCGCCTCTTTCCCCTTCTCCCCCATGCAGCCAGCAGCCGGCAGTGCTGGTGAACAGGGGGTGGGTGCCGGAGGCAGTGAGGCGAGAGGCAGACACATGGATGGCGGGGGAGAGGGCGAGGGGGGCCGCAGGCGAGGTGGGGAAGGAGGAGGTTGAGAGCGGTGGCAGTGGGACGAGCAGGAGTGGTGGTGGCGGAAGCAGCAGCAGTGGAAGCAGCAGCAGCGGTGACGTTAGTGAGAAGGGCAGCACGAGGGGGTGGTTTGGATCAGGGGGCGGTACAGCGCGTGCCTCAACCGGCGCTGGGACAGCACTTGGCAAGGTGAGGCTTGTTGCCAAAGCGTATCAGTTCATTTCATATCAGATCAGATCAAATCAGATCAGATCAGATCATATCACATCAAATAAAAATCATATCATATCTAATTGGAGCAGTCTTATGAGACTGGGATGGGATGCATGCAGATTTACAGTCGCTCTTCCCCTGTCCATATCGTATGCACTTCGCACCACTTGTCTCTTTTCCTCCTTCCACTATCTCCCCTCTTTGGTGATGGCGCGGCCACTGCTGACTGTGTGTCGGGTGACAACCCAACCACTCAATGCAGCCCAAGGGGCCGGAGCATGAGGAGTGGTTGCGGTGGTCATACATAGAGCTGCTCTCTCCCCAACCATCTGCTCCGTCCTATGATCCAGGTGTTTGGCATGGTCCTACCCAGCACAAGCCAGCACAAGCCAGCACAAGCCAGCACAAGCCAGCACTAGCCAGCACAAGCCAGCAGGAGCCAGCAAGAGCCCTAGTGCTGCTGAATGGCCTGCAGCACTCAACTCAACAGTTGCTTTCTGTCTAAATAAGCTCTTTTCAACTCCATCTCCTCCGTTACACGCAGCCCAACAACCCCCCTGTGAACCGCGTGTGTGGCATTGTCCGGGCCAGCAGGAACCTCAAGTACTCAAAACCGCCCAATGCCCAGAACACTGAAGGCTTGTTGTTTGAGGAGTCACTCTCTCCCTCTCCTTCTCCTCCTCCCTTCCACGCAGCCCAACGCCCCTCCTGTGATTCGTGTGTCTGGTGTGGTGTGAGCCAGCGTGTACCCCAACCACCCAGTGTCCCAACCGGTTAAAGCACTTAACAGTTGCTCAAGTCTTGTTCTTTCCCTCCCCGTCTCCTCCCCTCCACACAGCCCAACGCACCTCCTGTGATCCGCGTGACTAGTGTGGTCCGAGCCAGTGAGAAGCAGAACCTCTTCAAGAGAAGTAGTGCCTTTTTCCTCCCATCTCCTTCCTCCGTTCCATGCAGCCAAGTCCCCTGTGATCCGTGTGTCTGGGGTGGTGTGAGCCAGTGAGAAGCCGAACCACTTTGTGCCGCCCAATGGCCGGAGCACTCAAGCTGCTGTTTGAAAATGTGCCCACTCCCTTCCTATCTCCTCCTTCCTTCCATCAGCCCAGCACTTCCCCTTGCAATTCCGGTGTCCGGGGTGGTGCGAGGCAGTGAGAAGCCAAACCACCGAGTGCCGCTTAATCGCCTGGAGCACTCACCAATTGCTATCTAAATAGAAGGCGCTCGTTCCTTTTCCACCTCTCCCCTCCACACAGCCCAACGCCCCTCCTGTGATCCATGTGTCCGGGGTGGTGCGAGGCAGCGAGAAGCCGAACCACTTTGTGCCGCCCAACGCGCCGGAGCACGGCGAGTGGTTCTGGGTGGACGTGCCTGCCATGGCCCAGGCCTGTGGCCTGCCACGTGGCACTCTGCTATTGGACGCCATGAAACCAACCGAGGACGAGGAGGATGAGAAGGAGCGTACGTCGGACAGCAGCAGCAGCAGCAGCAGCGGGCAGGCGGGTGTGTGTCCTGCATTCTCCAGCGACCCGCGCTTCCCTCGCCCCAAGGACCCGGAGGAGCTCGTGAAGCTGCCAGTCATGCCCACCGACCACATCACCTACGCTGCCACCTGGTGAGTCGTCCGCCGCCAAAATTTCAACGTTCTTCTGCTATACTTCATCTCATGACTTACAACAAGGTAACAACAAGGTTATGTTTGACTTTTACCTTTCCTAGGTGGATATGTAGTCATGTTGCACCATCTCCTCCATTCTCCCCCTCGTGCTCAGGTTTTCTCTCTTCACAGCCACGTCAGTGATGGCTTACAAGCGCCTTCGAGTCGTGCCCAAGAAGGTGCGCTAGGCAACAAGGCAACAACGCCTCTTGTGTGTCCTTGTGGCAAAACCTTGTGTATGGTACAAAGGCAGGAAGATGTATGATTTTAGTGGTGTTAGTCACCCTACCATGTTGAGTGGTTAGTTACGGTAATGTGAAGCACCAACTGTACGAATGCAAATACGGTGTTCGCTCAGGATTTTTTTGTTTTGGAGGAAAAACTATGGTGCCGTACCGTAGCTACGATACCACTACCGCTAGGAAGTTCTGATTGTCAAAGTTTTCTTGCCAGCAGCAGCCTCGAAAATCAGTGGTAGCGTTTCCAAGACTCGCATCGGTGATGCTAACCAGGCCCCAAAATGTCAGGGTAAAATACCCTGATTGCCCTGACTGGCGGCCGCTTTTTTTGGGGTTACCCTGACCCAGTCAGGCTCCCGGATTTCTTACTCTGACTCATAAAGAGTTTGATTTTTTGTACCCTTATGAATTCCGAGCTATAGATTGTTTCCCCTGACTTTCATCAGTGTTTTAATCCTGTTACACTGATACCGAGTCTTTCGTAGCGAGGATATGGTGGATGTTGCGCAAAATGGCATCATGTAGTACCCTCCGCTTATATCTCAACGCGAGCATTTAACCTGCGACCTTTCCTCTCACAGCTACACCTCTGACCGGGTGAAACACTTCAACTTGCAATGATCTTATTCGTTAAAATATGGACTCTTACACGGAATCAGAGTACAATTTTTTTTTTACCCTGTTTTCATCAGGGTACGAAATTTTTTACCCTAGGAGTCAGGGTTGGCCCACCCTGGAACTCTGATTTGACAGGGTAGGCCAAAACCAATTTTGGGCCCTGATGCTAACTTTCCAAGACTTAGCCCTGCAGGTAGCAACAAGGCAAGAGACGCCCTAAAAAATTGTGTGCCCTGTCAATAAGTTGCGAGCAAAAACAGCACGGCAGGACAGCGCTAAGCTATTGTTGAGGTGAAAGAGAACGCTGCCAATGCGCCATATATTCACAACACAACACTCAAGCTTTCCCCTTGTTTGTACCCAATGTACCATGTGCCATGTTACTTGCCTGGAGAGATAGCAAAACCACCACCTGACTGGAACTTCAACCAGCCAGCTTAGAGCCAGTGTAACGTTTATCATGTAACAACTACTGAAGTAACACCCGACAGTTTGAAGTCAGAGGAACAGACTCTGTACGATCAGCATGTCATGGAATCAAGTAGCTCACACAGCCGTACGTGACACTGGGGCAGCTTGGTTGACAAAATGCATTCATTATACATCAGATCAGAATGGGTGCAAGAGGGGGCGTCGCTGCCCCTTCTGCGGAGCATCTTGACTCAGCATTTGTGTTCTCAGCTGGGAGCAGGGAAGCCCACAACAAGCAAGGACGGATAGATGGGTTGGGATGGGAGGATAAGTCAGATGGGAGAACACGTTAAGGCGTGGTGAACTTGGTGAGAAGTGGGGATATGGCATTGAGGGATGCAGCTGGAGCAGCAAGGGGTAGCGGAAACAAGCGGCCGGTAATGATAGCATGATGAACTGATAAATTGAGCTGCAAGGGTTGGTTGCCCACCATATAGTAGATGGACTAGATGCATGCTCAGGGTTGAGGACGATGACATGCACCGACTGATGGAAGTGAACTTTCAGGCACATATAGGCACGTGGAAAGACAACCCCCCATCTCGCCTTGGAGGCCCTCCTGTGTTCCCCTTCCTCATGATTTTCAGCATTGTCTTGTAGTGCCTTGTCTCCACATGCACCACCACCACGACCAGCATGCCCACGGCTTCCCTCTAGTGCTTGTGACTGCACGCACGGACACACATGCCCGAGGCTTACCTCCAGCAATACACGCATTGGTGCGCGAATCGGCAGCAGAAAGCGGACTGCTCCAGCCCTATGTTGGAAAAGTCGCCAGAAACCATAAGCGCACTCCGAATAGTCGTTTACGAATATACGGTGTACGCAAGTCGTACGTATATTCGTTGGCGAAAGTTCGGGCTGACCCGAAAAAAAAAACAGATTTCAAAAGTCGCGCACGAATTGCGAATGTGCGACGAGACTCAAAATGTACGCACGTCCCACCCCAATTTGTACGCACGTCCCAATCCAACCACATTGTCACCCACACCTGTCAAAATGTGGGGACGTGGGAAAATTTGAACCGCACTGCACCCTATGCTATCGCGCGACTCCAACACACAAACACGAATGTCGTCAACCAGCGTAGGTGGTTCAACCACATCCTGGACTATAAGGTAAGCTCTCATTCCCGTCATCTGTATTATCTCTCTCCTCGTTCATTCTCTCTCAACACTCCCGCTCACCTGCACTTGATGTCGACTCCTTCTGGTACTCCCGCAAGTGCCAGTGGGAGGCTCCTAGTGTTTCGAATGACGCGACCATGGCGGATGACGAGGATGTTCCTGTGAACACCCATGTTATTTTTAAGCATTTCCTTACCTCTACCGAATGTACCTCGAATGGTCCTGAGCGTACTCTCCGCATATGCCGGCACTGCAAGCTTAAGTTCGTAGGGGGCGCCTTCCGCTGCGCGCAACACATCACGCGCTGGAAAGGGCTGAAACGGAAGGACGTCCGTCTTTGCAAGGCGCCTATCCCTTCTGCTGACTGCGGCGCCGTCCGCGAATTGAACGAAGGCAAACACCCCCCCAGGGAAGGGAAGAAGAAGGCGGAGGAGATGGCGATCGAGGCGTGTGCGGGTGGAGCGAAGAAGCAGTGCATCGAAGACTTCTACGGGGAAGGGGCGTCGTGTGCAAAGGAATCGGCAGACGACGCCATCTGCCTCATGTGGGCGGCACTTCACCTCCCGGAGCATCTCGCCGATCACCCTCTCTGACGGAACGCTGTGCGCTGCATCACGGACGTGGGCCATGGCTACGTTCCCCCGAAGCGGCGGTATGTTGGTGGCGCGGACCTTGCGCGCTGCCGCAAAAAGATCGAGAGGGGGCTCGCTCCCATCACTGCGAGCTGGAAGCGGGATGGCGTGACGATAGGCTCAGACATGATGACGGACAAAAGTGGCCGTCCCCAAGCCAACATCCTGCTCATCAACGATTCCGGTGCAGTGTTCACCGAAAGCATCGACTGTAAGTTGGAGATGAAGACGGGAGGTTACATTGCATCCGTTTTGCGCCCGATCATTGAGAAGGTGGGGCCCGCCAACATAGTTGCGTTATGCATGGATGGGGGCAGCAATTATGTGGCTGCATGTAGGGAACTCATGCTTGAGTATCCTCACATTGAGCATGTGTCGTGCGTGAGAGGATGCGGTAGTAGGGGACCGACTCGTCAAACGTGACGTCCTGGGAGGACAAAACACGGCGAGAGGTGGGGTGGTAGAACTGCCACCCAGGCGCGTCAGGGGGGAACCCCAGGAAGACGCAAGGAGCAGCACGAGGGGACAGCTTGTCCGCAGACAAGTCGCGGACAAACGCCCGAGATCCCCAGACCCGGAACGCCGACGCATCGCCAACCTTCCCCGTCCACAGCAAGGCTGGGGAGGTCTCCGGCCTGGAGACCCTGGGGTGTAGGTTGATCTGATGCGCCGCGTACCTCACCGCAAACGGCCACTGAAAATGGGGAGCAGCCGCATGCATCATAGACGTACGAGCGACGTCCATGACCATGCCAATGCGGCGCTCAGCAATCCCATTTTGCTACGGGGAGTCCGGAAGCGTGAAGGTCTGACGGATGCCTCGTGCGCGATACTAGGCTCTCAGAAGTCCAAAGGAAAACTCTCCGCCTCTGTCCTAGTGCACACGCAGAACAGGAAAGTCCGAGCCAAAGCTCCGCCTGAGCTGGAGACGAGCTGCGCGGATCCAGTCGATCAGCACCTCAGTGACATCACCCTTGCTGCGCAAGGGGAAGACTGCGGTGTAACGCGAGTTGTCGTCAACAACGAGCAGGAAGTAGCGCTCGTGACCCTGTCCACGGACGCGGTCTGGGCCCCACACGTCCATTTGAAGCGTCTGCAACCGGGCCTCTGTCGGAGGAAACTGGGAGGAGTGAGGGGCAGCACGCTGACGCCCCTCGACACAGGGGACACAGGTAGGGCAAGGACCCTGAGGAAGGGGAGGGAGGGACCGGGGGAGACCAGAAACAAGAAGACGGGAGGCCATGCCTCTGAGCCGAAGCAGAGAGGGGTGACCAAGGCGGTGGTGCCAGAGGAGAGTCTCGTGAGACAGGAGACGACACGAACAGGGGGCAGACTCAGGACCAGACCTGGACGCTGCAGCAAACACCTGACCCGACGCAGCTACCCTACCAGACTCAGCAACTGGAGGAGACGCAGTGGTCAGTGTGTACAGGCTCGACCCCGGCTGAAGGGTGAACGTAGCCAGATGTCGGCCTGTGCTAGCCTCTGTGCAGTGCGTCACCCGCTGACGCGCAAGAGTGAACTGGTGTACTCCCCAATCCTGTAGGTCAGCACCACTCACCATGTTCGTAGAGAACGAGAGGAGGTAGAGACCAGACAGGGTGCCAGAGGGAGCCGCCGGACACGGGAGGACTGTGGAGAAGTGAGACAGGACAGGACCCCCAGAGGGGTCAGCCAGAGACACCGCAACCGGCCGACTAAGCGGCGTGAGTGTGGTGCGGTCCCGAAAGAAGGAGCGAGAAGCCCCAGAGTCAAGGGTGAAGGTGAGGGAGGCCGAAGGCGACGTAGTACCTGAGAGCGCAGACTCACCAGTACCTGAAGACGCAGACGCACTAGCACCTAGAGCAGCAGCGTCGCAAGCACCTAGGGCAGCCGCCTCACCAGTACCTAGAGCAGCAGTCTCAATGCCTGGATCGGGCGGGAAACACCGGTAACAGTCACCCTCATCATTAATAGACACAGCATACATGGCAGAAAGAATAGCATCAAAATCAAGATCATAGATGGCAACACCCGCCCTAGACAGCTCGCCCCAGCGAGGGATCTCTGTGGCCTCCAGGAACTGGTGACGCCACGCGTCCGTCAGGCGGCCAAAGCAGTGCTGGGTGGGGTGCGCACCCCCACACCGCTCACCCGCACGGTCGGCGGTGCGCAGGACGTAGGTGCACGGACCAGAATCCCCACCCCGCTGGCATGCAGTGTACCACTCACAGAGCTGCTCAGGGGACAGGGTCTCACGACCGCGCTGCTGCTGCTAGCGCGGACCACCACCGGAGCCACTCCTCTGCGTAGACCCGCGACCAGCTCCATCGCCACCCCCCCCGCCTCCGCCGCCTCCGCCGCCTCCGCTACTACCACCACCTCCGCCGCCTCCTCCACCGCCGCCACCTCCGCCACCTCCGCTCCCACCGCCACCGCCGCCGCCGCCTCTGCCTCCACTGCCGCCATCGACATCTCCACCCCCACCTCCACTCCCACCACCACCCCCACTCCCCCCGCCGCCTCCACCTCCACCTCCACCGCCCCCGCTCGCTCCTCCAGTGCCTCTGCCCCCCTTGCCCTTGCCAGAGCGGCGTCTCCCGCTAGGGGCAGACGCCGCACCGACCGACTCAAGACCAAGGAGGTCGGCCGCAGCAGCAGAGGCAACAGAGGGCAGAAGGGGGGAGGGGGAACACCCCTCAAAGATGGGGGTGCGCGGGTCACCTCGAGAGGCTCCTACAGCGACTATGCTCTTCTCAATCGCTAGGAGGGCCTTCTCGAGGAGGTCAACAATGAGAGTGGTGGGACAGACTGAGAGGAAGTGGTCCCTGACTACACGAAGGGAGTCAGGGAGGCGTGTGACTATGTAGTAGAGAGTGATGTACATGTGGGGGGGGTTCTTGGCGCAGAAGTCAGCAGGAAGTGCAGCACGGTAGAGAGTGTCACTAGTGCGGAGGTGCGTAATGAGGTCAGCTACTGTGGGAAAGGCAGCAAGGTCAGGGAAGAGGTACGGTAGCATGAGACGGCCCAGTGCAGCAGTGGCAGGGGAGGAGTAGCGCGCGACTACAGCGTCGTACAAGGTCTGAGCACTCTTGTATTAACTTAAGTGCGCATGCTCGGAGGTAGGGAGATGGCGACGCACAGCAAGACGTGCAGCAGCGTCGTGCGTGGCCCACTGGGAGCGAACAGTGGCGTCGGCATCAGCAGCAGGGGCAGGAGAGGCGCCAGAGGTGAGGTAAAAGATTCATAGACCGTCTGCCCTATCGCACTGTAAAAACAGCTGCACGTCATCTATCCAGACGTCAAAGTCAATGGCTCGACCCTCAGCGTCAAAAGCGAGGACACTAGGGGTAGCCATGACCACAGTAGACTAGCAGTGCAACAGTAGGGTGAGGGCAGTGCAGTAAAAGAGGCACTGTGCTCACCGGACGGGGCTGCTCGGGCTGCTCGGAGGTAGGGCGGCTCGGCGGCTCGGCTGCACGGCGGCTCGGCTGCTGGGCGGCTCGGCTGCAGGGCGGCTCGGTTGCTCGATTGCTGGGCGGCTCGGCTGCAGGACGGCTCGGCTGCTCGGCTGCTGGGCAGCTCGGCTGCTCGGCTGCTCAGCTACTGGGCGGCTCGGCCGTGCTGCTGCAGGGCGGCGCGGCGGTCGGCTGCTCGGCGAGGTGAGGCAGCCCGGGCGGCTCAGGTGGCGGGTGGCGCTGCAGCAGGTGACGGGGCCGCAGGGAAGGCGGCTGGGCCGCAGGTATGGGCGGTGAGGCCGCACTCGAGGGCGGCGGGGACCGCAGGTAAGGGCGGCGGGGACCGCAGGTGAGGGCGGCGGGGCCGCAGGTAAGGGCGGCGAGGCTGCAACGGCGGCGCGGGGTCGACGGGTGGTGTAAGGCGCCACTAGGGCGGCGCGGGGGTCGACGGGCGGCGCAGGGGGCCGCTAGGGCGGCGAGCGGGGTCGACGGGTGGCGCAGGGGGCCGCTAGGGCGGCGCGCGGGGTCGACGGGCGGCGCAGGGAGCCGCTAAGGCGGCGCGCGGGGTCGACGGGTGTCGCAAGGAGGGGCCGCTAGGGCGACGCGTGGGGTCGACGGGCACCGCAAGGGGCCACAAAGGGCGGCGCGACGGTAGGGAGGGCACACGGGGCGCGCGCGACTCGGTCTTGTCTAAGGCGCGCTACGGGCAGGAAAAAAAAATCGTGGTGGGCCCTAGGTAGCGTTCCCACTAGGGAACCTGCTCTAAAACCATGAGAAGAAACGAGAATGAATGAACTATGAATGAAGTGGGTACAAGTACTAACCCTAATTGGGTTGTACCCCCTATGGGATACCCCACTATAGCCTACACAAAAGCATAAGCTATAATGTTCTGACAGTGCGCTACTTACGTCATGGATCTGCTCATGGAGGACATTGGGAAAATGGATTGGGCGAAGGACATTGTGGCTAAGGTGGGGGTGATTATTACCTTTGTGCGTGCCCACGATAAGGTTACATGCGAAGCCCGCAGGTGAAGGGAGGGAAGGGGAAGCAGGTGCTGAAGCTGGCGGGCACCAGATTTGGCACGCAATTCATCGCGGTGCAGCGGCTTTGCGAGGTGCGGAGTGCATTGACGCAGATGGTGCTGAGCCCGGAGTGGCAGGCTTGGGCGAAGGGGAGGAAGCCGCCGGTCGAGCCCTTCGCAACCATGATCATGGATGCCGTGTGGTGGAAAGGTGCGGAGTTCTTCGTCGCCCTCCTGAAGATCCCCTTTGCCGTCATGCGCAAGATTGACTCGACGGCCAAGGGCATGATGGGCAGGATGTACGATCTGATGTTGCAGCTCACGGAAGACATCAATGCGAAGCTAGAGGAGGAGGAGGCGGGATTGCTGCTGTCCAGCAGCGAACGCACAGAGGTGACCAACATCGTCCAAAAGCGCTGGGACCATAGCATGGCGTGTGCCATGCACGTGGTTGGCCGGATCCTCAACCCGGTCAACCAAGAGGAAGGCATCTTCCGCACCGACCTGGAGTGTACTCGCGTCTTCAAAGCGTTTGTCGCTCGTCACTACGCAGGGCGAACCGTCACGCGCAAGGAGAGCGAGGAGTTGCGCGCATCCCACGTCATCCAGGACGGCTTGGCGGCATTCAACACCCTTCAGGGGAGCTTCGGCCTACCCGACGCCATCTCTGGCCGTGAGCTTGTGAAGGCCGGTAAGAAGACGGTCGTCCAGTGGTGGACGTGGCACGGGACGGAGCACCCCGAGCTAACAACGCTCGCTTGCCGCGTTCTCTCTCAGCCAGTGTCCGCATCGGCGTGTGAGAGGAACTGGGCAGTGTGGGAATCGATCCACACTGCCAAGCGCAACAGGTTGGGGTCCGAGAAGTGTCGGGACCTCGTGTATGTTGCGTACAATTGGAACATTGTGCGCAACTGGCACAAGGGGGCTGAGGGGGTGACGGTTCTCCCCGGGAACATCCCTGAGGCCTCCCTGGCGGAAGGGTACAACGAGGTTCTGGAGGAGGATGAGGAGGAGGGGGAGGAGGATGAGCTGGAGGATGAGTACAAGTAGAGGAGGAAGGAAGGGACGGGGGGAGTAGAGGGTGGGAGTAGGGGGTGGGGTAGGAGAGATGCATGTTGCTTGCTTAGAGTAGTTGAGAATGTAAGGTTTTTTCAATATATGAAATTCGGTAAAACCACCACTCCCCTCCCCCTCCTTCGGCGGTTTTTTTCGTCTGCCCGGTAAAAACCTTTTGCTGCCCGGGCAGCGTACTTTCTGCGACTTTCAAAGTCACTCACGAAGCGCATAACGCACTATACGCAAGCGTATATACGCTTGCGTATAATGCGCTGGGCGCGACTTTTCCAACATAGCTCCAGCCGGACCGTGTGGCACCAGAGGCAGCTGTCATTCCGTAACAAGTCAGTGCGCCTGTGGTGCCACTAGCAGTGCTGCTGTTGGTGTGGGCTGCAGTGCTGGTGGTGGTGTGGGTGGCAATGGTGACGGCGACGCGGTTGGCAGTGCTGTTGGTGCGGGCAGCAGAAGTGCCAGTGGCGCGGGGAGCAGAGGAGCAATTGGTGCGGGTGGTAGTGGTGCTGCTAGTGCGGGGGGGAATGGAATGGGTGGTGCGGGCGGCAGTTGTGCCGGCAATGCGGGCAGCAGTTGTGCCAGTAATGCGGGCGGCAGTGGTGCCGGTAATGTGGGCGGCAGTGGTGCCGGTAATGCGGGCGGCAGTGGTGCAGGCTCCAGTTGAGCTGTTAGTGTGAGTGGCAGTGGTTCTGTTAGTGCGGACGCCTGTGGTGATGGTGGTGTGGGTGGTAGTGGTGCCTGTGGTGTGGGTGGCCGTGCTCCTCGTGATGCAGTTGGCAGTGATGCCAGTAGTGCGAGGCACCAAAGCGGACCGGTGTAAGGCGCAGGGGGCAGCACGGGAAGCAGCTTGAATGGTGGTGCGAGGAGTATTTACGGCTGTAGCGCGAGGGGCAGCGGCAGATGCAACACGTTTAGAGGAAAGGCGAGAAACATGGGCTGTAGCACGGGTTGGAACATAGGAGCAAGCCCACAAGCGTGAAAACGAGCATGAGAACATAAGACACAGTGACTTGGTACGGAATGTGGGAAAACTTTGGGAAAAGAAGTGGGGTACAAAAAAAATAAAACCACCACAAGAAAATGCACTTGGCAAGCTCATTTAATTCTTCTAAGGAACTGGAAATTCAACATTGTGACTGCAGTGGGATGACAAGCCGACAGTCACTGCAAAAGTCCACCCTCCCCCCCCCCCCCCCCCCCACTCCTTCCCTCCCCCCTCCCCACCCCAATCTCTACATACCTTCTTACCCCCTCGCTGCCAACCCCCCCCCGTCCATCCCAACCCCCTCTTTCCCCTCTGCTTGCATGCCATCCCCCATCCTTGCCAAGCTTCCCTCCAACCCCTCTGCCAACCTCCCCCATCTCCTGACCCTACCAACCTCCCCTCCTCCCCATCCATTGGGGATGTAGGTAGGTTAACTGAAGAGGCGGCAGCATGCCGGGCAGTTGGTGCAGTGGCGTGATGGGCACGAGAGGACGACACATGAGGACCCGCAATAGATGTTGCCCGAACAGCCGTAGCAGCTGTGGCATGACTGGCTGTACTAGCTGTGGCACGACAGGCTGTAGCAGCAGGAGCAGCAGCAGTGGGCGCATGACTGCATGCCGCTGAAGGCACCCCCGTGGCTGACCTTGCAGTTGTAGACTGACCCCCAGGGAAGGAAGAATGGGGAGGGGAGGAGAGAACGCAAGGGAAGAGAAAGTGAGATCAACATAGCCGGATGAGTTCTGATCTGTTAGCGAGAGTGACATGCATGACTTGCATTGCTCACAAGGGCAAATGCGAGATCACAGCACCACGTATCTACAACTGAACACATCTGAGCATACGAATCTTGAGTAAAGGGTATACCTACCAGCAGCTCCAGCAGTGGACTGGAAAGAAGAGTTTCAGAAATTTTCTCACTGAAGGCACCTATGAGAATTATGGCAACCATATCGCTTCATGGAAGCAGCACGAGCAGAAAGTTGGAAGTTGGACTCACATGGCTGGCATGGTAACTGATGCCAACTCCCTCGTCGTGATTCCCGTTCTCCACACTTTGCAGTGTCCCCTCCTCCCTCCCATCGTCAACGACCCTTCCCTCCTCTGCCACCACTGAACTTATTGCAACTTCTCTCGCTCTATTGACGTAATACTTGCTTTCAACTGAGTAAAAGGGTCCCTGCAAGAGGATTTATCGCCAGGCACACAAGACGTGGTTCACACTCGATAAGGGGTTGATCTCTGGTGTCATGTATAATATCCTTACTTACTCTAGTCTAGAGTGTTCCACCTTCATAAAGTATGCAACCAATAGAGAGAAAAGCGATGTTACAGGGGTTTCTCGCAAGACGCACCTCAACACATGTATATTGAACGGCGATGGGGGCTTGCATGGTGCTTTTGGTGTTGGATTCACTGTTCACAATCAAAATGCAAAACCTTTCTTCACTGGTGTCCCAGACCTGCCAAACAATTCAAGTAGTGTCTCTACTTGTTCAAAAGGGGAAAGCAAAAAACATAGTTAAAGAAGATTCTGGTTCTCTTCCTATCAAAAGTCTGCTGTGACTTGTCTATTGCGTTGAACATAATAGAGAACCAGACACACCTTAGAGGCGCAGAAAGGGCAGGACTCGTCTTGCACAACGAAGCGACCGGATTGTGTATAATATCACCTGATGGCAAGAAAAAAGATATTGGTTTCATTCAATGAACAAGACAGTTCTAGAGAAAGCTGAGGATTACGCGGCAGAGAACTTGGAAGAAAGAGCATAAACATGAAGCGCGAGTAGAAGAGGTGGCCTTATAAGTCAAGTTTGGAGCCAACATGAAGTCATTGTATCAGATGCAACGTATCGGTTTGGTCCAGAGCATCTCGATGAAAGAAGCACCAACTGGTCAGGGAAATGCTGTCAAAAGATATGAGACCCAAGCCAGGCCCATGCAAGCGCATGGGTGGCTTATCACTGTCGCGCTCCTTCCCGTTTTCTGTATTTCGCCACCCCCTTATCACGCCAGGGCACCAGTGGATAAGTCGTGCGAGGGCTTGAAAATCCACCCCTTCCATCCGTTCCAGCATGAGCCGAAAATATCTGCGCGTGGATGCTTCATACGCCTCGTTGCCGTCCGAATTCTGCACCTGGAGTTTGTGCTCAAAGAGCCTAGAGAGCTTTTCCCGGCAGTGCAGCTGCCACAGGGACTCCTTTGCCATGCGATTAAGCGCTTTCGAAAGGCACGACATCTGCGCTAGTAATACATGAGGCCCTGTTGGCTCGGCGCGGCGCAGAATGGCGTAAAGGAGGTCGCCGGGAAGGGAGTCCATGGGATCAGACCTAGCGGACCACGTAAGGGATGGGATTGAATCATGGCGAATGTAGAACAACCAACACGCAAATGTTGGATCTAAGATTGATGCGAGTCGAAATGATGAGCGGTAAGTCGCGATGATGCGATCTATGGTGTGACGGACTTCTGGATGCTGGCAACAGTCTAATGGGCGTAAGGGGAGCAGGAATGCCGCTGAGTGTGAGAAAACTGAAACGAGAATGAATGACTAAGGAATGAAAGTGATACAAGTATGCAACCCTAGAAATGTGTACCCCATATAGGCTACCCCACTACAGCCTACACAACATTATAATTTGACACAACCCCCATAGGCAAAGTGGGGGAGAACAAGGGGTCACAAGACCAGTCAAGCGAAGCAAAACAAGCTCAGGGTGGATCACAAAGTCACCACACATTCCGAGCACAAGTTCAAGGCCACAAGGCCAGTTCACATGCAGGAGTACATACATATATATATAGGAGGCTAGACAAGCAAGAGCAGGTGTACATATATATATGTAACAGTACAAGCAAGGTCAAGAGGTGAGCAAGTGAGGCAAGACAGGCACAAGACCAAGCAAAGTACAGAAGCGCTGATGATCACAAGGCGCAAGTGCCTTGGTGAAGATATCAGCAGTGTTGGCCTTAGAGGCCACGTACGCAAGACGCAGCTGACCACGCTGCTGTAGCTCACGAGCAAGGAAGTAGCGAAGAGCAATGTGCTTCGTTCTGTGCTCCAGTCTCTGCTCTCGACACAAGGCCAGCATGGCCTTGCTGTCTACGTACAGCACGGGAGGAGAACGAGGCACCTCGCCAAGGTCAGTCAACAGGTAGGTGATCCAGCGAAGCTCCTGTGGAGCCATGGCCCCGGCGTAGATCTCAGCCTCACAACTGGAGCCGAGAACAGAAGACGAAACAGAGCCGGAACCAAGGCTGAAGGTGTAACCCTATGACGACCGCTGTGTAGCCTGGTCGTCTGCCCAAGAAGCGTCTGCATGCCCAGTGAGGACCACTGGACTCCGCCCTCCAAGCACAAGCCCCATGCCCGACGTACTGCACAAGTAGCGCAACACCCTCTTCGCTGCAGCCATGTGCTCCGGTCTGTGTCTCCCAGGAGCAACATAGCGCGCAAGAATGCTAAGAGGGTATGCAAGGTCTGGTCGAGTGCAGGTCATAAGGTACATGAGGCAGCCAACAAGCTCTAGGTACGGGCCACTCGACTCTACGGACTCATCCGAAGGCAGAGCTGAGAGCGAGTGGCGAGTAGACAGAGGAGTGGCCTGAGGCGAGGAGTACATGAAGCCGAAGCGCTGAAGGACCTGCTGCACCATGTGTGACTGAGTCAGGGTAATGGTGCGCTGTGCTCTGTCCCGGGTGATCTGCAAGCCAAGGTAGCTGCGCAGTTCACCCAGGTCTGTGCACGCGTGTCTCTTCTGCAGCTCGGACTTCACGTGGGCGAGTCCAGCAGTGTCACTTGTGGCAAAGACCAAGTCGTCGACGTACACAAGGATGTAGAAGGCGGTAGCGAAGTGTCGGTGCGCAGAAACAGCGACGGGTCGGCAGTAGAGGGAGCAAACCCAAGAGTCGCAAGTGTAGTCCTTAGTGTGACTTGCCACTCACGTGGCGCCTAACGGAGACCGTAGACTGGCCACCTGAGGCTCCACTGGGTGCCAGGAGGAAAAGTCCCAGTGAAGCCAGGTGGGCGGCGCAGCAAGATCTCCTCGTGCAGGCTGCCCTGCAAGAAAGCAGTGCTGAAGTCAAGAGAGTGAAGCTCGCAGTCGCGCTGAGCGGCTATGTGTAGCAGCACCCGAAGAGTAGTCATCTTCGGGGTGGGAGAGAAGGTTTGAAAGTAGTCAACTCCCTGCCGCTGACTGAAGCCACGAGCCACGTACCGCGCCTTGAAGACAGGCGGAGAACCCGGCGGCCACTTCACCCTGAAAATCCACATGCGGGGGAACCTCGTCAACGTAGGTGCCTGTGGACTTTCAGGAAGCCATCTCTGCATCCATAGCTGCCTGCCACTGAGAGGAGTAGGGACCCTCTATCGCCTCCGCGAAAGAGCGCGGAGTCGGGATGTCAAGCGCATCCGGGTCTCCCTCAGGGGTAAGCAGTACAGACACGAGATGAGGTGAAGTAGCGGCCAAGCACTGGAACTCCTCTTGCCTGTCCTCAAGGACGTCCGTGCCAAGGGCACACTCACCCCCGACGGACGGAGGATAGACAGACTCAGACTTAGCGACAAGACTAGCAGGGTAGTCTAGACGACAGCGAGCAACAAAGTCGACGAGCTTAGCAACTAGGGCAAACGCAGCAGTGGACTCAAAGGAAGGGTCAGTGACGACAGTAGCAAGGAG